TCGTTATAAACATAGTTTATGTACGTGATATGAAGCAGATGTGTGTGTCCCAGTGGAGGGGAGTTGTTTGTATTTTGTCTCACTGTCGCTTACAACATCTATGTGTGATACATCAATAAGTTATACATTGATGGAACGTTGATTCACCTTTCTCTTTAAGTTGACGTTATGTAATTTATTTATACATTGCAACATCTACAGTAAATGGCAACAGGTAAGGATCACTTATTGTCGTGGTGCTCAAACTGTTGGCTTCACAGCACTGTTTCATAGTTGTTTTACGCCGCACTCAGCAATATTAAAGCTATATTGCGGCGGTCTGTAAGTAATCGTTTCTGGACCAGACAATCAAGTGATAATTAACATGAGCATCTATCTACGCAATTGGGATACGATGACATGTGTCAACCAATTCAGCGAGCCTGACCACCCGATCCCGTTAGTCGCCCATTACGACCAACATGGGTTACTGAAGATCAATAATTATTCTAACCGGATCTTCACGGGTACAGGCTTCATCACAAAGATCACAGTGTCATTCTTGACAAAGTGACGACAAAGTGACGACAAAGTGACGACAAAGAGCGTGGAAGGAATCCATGGGTAATATGGCAAATTATTTAGATTTAGAACATATTGATGTAGAAAAAGAAGCCATGACGTATTGTTCCAAATACGTATTACTTCTGGTACCATCCCCTTTATTGGCACCGTTATGTTGACATGAACCGTTACACGTAACCTCCAAAATAACCTTTAGTTATTATTTTGAAAATTCGTATCTCCTATAGAACAATTAATACATTGTTTCTTCTTACATTGTAACTTCCCTATCAATAATCAGAAATATGTTTGTCGCATTATCGGACACATGTTATGTAAATAGTGTTATTAAACAATAAACCATTTTGCTGGGCCACATCACCTCAGATGACCATTGTGTATCTGAGATAAGGACAATACCACAATGATGTACATACGGCTGGTAGTATTACCAGCATGTAAAGTTCTTTAGTTTGGTGCTGAGGAGGCCACAGACTATAATATACCTTCTAGTGGTACGTTGAGAGTGGTACATTCCGCAGCATACTACTTCACATGCATATTATTGTACGGGTGAGTGAATGAGTGAGTGAGTGAGAATGGTTTTCGATGCTTTTAGCAACATTCCAGCAATATCACGACGGGACACCAGAAATGGGCTTCACACATTGCATCCATGTGGGCAATCGAACCCAGGTCTTCGGCGTGACGAGCGAACACATTAACCACTAGGCTACCCCAACGCCCCTATCATTGTACGAAGATATACTTGTACAGGGGCGGTGGGGTAGCCTAGTGGTTAAAGCGTTGGCTCGTCACGCCGAAGTCCCGGGTTCGATTCCCCACATGGGCACAATGTGTGAAGCCCATTTCTGGTGTCCCCCGCCGTGATATTGCTGGAATATTGCTAAAAGCGGCGTAAAACTAAACTCAGTCAGTCAGTCAGATAAACTTGTACAGTTTATGTAACAATTAAGCAAGTCAAGTAGTGACAACGTTGAAAAACTGAACTGACATAGGATGTACATTATCCTTAATGTTTCAGTCAATGGGCATACCTCGTCAGAAAGTGATATTCAGGGCAGGAGTTAAACACGGATGAATATTCATAACCTGGTTGTACAGCTACATCTCTTTAATCCATGGCCAGAACACACATGTCTGTAGTCAGGTGGGGCGTGGTGGGCGAACGGGGTAAGGCGCCAGCCTGGCTAGTGATCCAGCGAGTTTGAGCTGCCGGAATCGAGCCTACCTGTGACCAGGTGACCAAAAACTTTGAGTCAACTTTGTGTGCAGACTCTTTCAGTGTTGTTACAACCCCTAATGTACAGTACACAACCATGTGCGCTTAAAAGAACCCACGAATCCGTTGGTATATGACCACCTAGTTGCGGTTACAGCAGCGTGCAGTCAACTTGGACAAAGTAATGTGACAATGTGTCCCAGTCCATCCAGCTGTGAATGGGTACCTCGTAAGGATGGGAAGGCCGCAATAGTTGTACAATCCCCAGGGAGCTGAGATTGATAGTAAGATTGACATCCAATGATCGAGGGAAAACATACTAGCGCCTTGAGCATGCACTAGTGCGTGGAAATGTGCGCTATATAAATATCCAATAATAATAAATAATAGTCAAAGCCCTTAAAATGTGGTTCCGCCAATGTAATATGCAAGTTATGACTATGCCTGCTTTGAATATACAGGTATGAATGTTGGAGACCTTAGATAACCTAGAGAATAGATAATTAACAGAAGTAACGTTTGGTTAACTTATTTCGCGGTTGCTTAAGTGTTTAATAGGTCGCCTGCTGACAGGGCAATTTAAGCTGACCTGCCCTCCGTGTGTGTGAGAGAGTCTGGCGATTAAGTATAAATAACATTTCTGTTTTAGTATTGATATGATATATATATTTAAATTCTGTTAGTTTTTGAGTTTTGGTTATATTCCTATAGTTTCGTGTGTTTCTGTCTATATACTTTCGTGTAGCTTACAGTTTTTGTCAGAAATAGAGTTCGAATGACCTTTGCTATTGCATCTCTTCACTAAATTTGACATACAAATCTACTGGGTTTGATGTATTTTGCTTTACATACGTGACCCGTGTCTAGTGATAGAGCCAATTACCTTCCACCTAGAAGCCTACTGAACTATACACGTATTGTCATGAGAATTGCCTATTCCACACCTGCTGTCTTTATCAGTTCCCATTATCTCTGAGTCTAGTCACGGGACAGCCAACAGCATTTCCCTTGTTCCCTCCGAAATCTTGAAAATGTAAAAGTAAATTTATCTCATACAATATCATCCCAGTTGGCTGACTTTAACAAGGCACAGTCCAGGGGAGGAGGGAGATACCGTATTTCGTTCCAAGATCCCAAGACGGCCCACAGGTTCCTTGCAACCATCACTAAGCTAAATGAAGATGACATGTTTCAGGATCACCTCCTGTATGTAGGTAAGGACATGCCTGAACAATGATCAAACACAAAAATAGCAATTCTTCAGAACGACAGGCGGCCAACTATTGATCAACATGTCCGTTGTGAGTGGAGTCGTCAGTTGGGATAGTTGAACTTGAAAATGTTTCAAAGAAGACTTATCCAGCAGAGATGCCCGAAACACTTCAGAGAGGGAAGTGTTAAGGCAACAAACTATTGCTAATATGATGACTAAGATGGCTACTGTCTCTCCTTCACGTACTTGAGAAAACAGTTAAGAAATATTAATCCCAGCGAGACACATGCCCCTAATCACCTTGAGATGGACGTGTTTAAATGCGTCGACAGTGATGTGAAGGCGTAGAGAGAGGCAGTTTAGGAAGTTGTATGGAAGATGTAAAGGGTGGAGGTAAGAGTGTGTGAGGTTCTTGAAAGGCATTTTATGGATGACATTGATGACAACTTCTTTTATAACTTCTATCCATAAAAGATTGTCACGTAATTTGCGTGTGTGTGTGTGTACGTATGAGCGCATTTGTACGTGTGCGTGCGTGAACGTGTGTGTAACGTGTGTGTGATTGCTATTCCAAATTGAAATTGACAAAGTGGTGCGAGGAATCACCCATGTGAAGTAAATGGTAGTCAAAATGGAACTAATATGTTGTAATAGATTTGTATCGATTGACTGCATGTTGATATACAAACATACAGCACATCCTCGGTACATTCTGTGTTTAAACGAGATAAAAATCCGTGCTTCACAGATGTTCGCCACACGCTTCGGAGGGCTCTCGCGACTTGAACACGTCACGACACCTTTGCATGGCAGCCGAAACCTTGATCTATACCTCCTCAACCACCACGTTGATGTGTCCGTCGTCAATGTACGAAAAACAAGTCGACCATTAACGTCAACATCGGCCGTGATTTTGTTCAGTTCTACGGTCCATCTTCAGACCAAGCATAAGGTGAACGTGGTATATGTTGACAAGCGAAGTTTTGCATGCCATCTGACCCATGTACGAGTTTCATCCCGGCAAGCCATATCAAAAATGTTATTTCCTGTCAAAAGGAGCTGTAGATTTTTATCAGCCGTTATTAAATTGCATGAATCAATACAATTGTATATTTCTATCAATATAACTTGGTATAGAATTCACGACACAAGCTGGTGTGTCTGTATACACAAAACATGAACGAGATGTGAATGATATTGTTCAACACAGGTTATTCGATTTCATTTTCAATAATACGCAGTTTTGTGCAATGTAAGCATTTTTTAGAAGTTAGTTTCATTGCACAATATATGCAAATGTGGACGTGATTGCTAATGCATATTTGATTGAAAATTACCGAACATTTCTGTTAACCAGAACATGTTGGTGTAAGACTGCCCTACCACTACCGCCATGCTGCAATGGGGAGTTTGGTTAATGCATGGTTCTCATGTAGATAATGCTTTAACAGGTTAACATATGTTATAGCGTGTTAATACGTGGAAGGAAACAATAACAGCTAAATTGTTTCCTTCGTAAGGTTGTATTTACCGTGTGCCTTCATTTAATCATAGATTCGCCAAATATCATATTTCCTGGAAACATCAGTAGCTATATTGATGTATGAGACAAATGTGAGAATGATTCACATATGTGTATTGATTCATATAGGCTGCTGAATAGCCCTAGCCAACTAAGATCAGCACGTGTATATATTGTCTGGTGAATCACTAACATACTTTTGGGATACATTTAAAGATCATCGGATCGGATCCTTGAAGCTTAAAACATTATTCCTGACATATGACGTTACTGGCACCATCTCCATTGTATACATCATCATATACGCCATGCCAGGTGCTCGTCTGATAACGTGATTCAACTGTAAATATGGCATCAGGTAATCTGTATCGATTTTTTCAGCCTCATCCGGATTATCCGGGTGTTCTTAATCCATCACCACACTGTATGAATTACGCATGCACCATGATCACAAATGAAAATACGGAATAAATGCCCACCTCAATCCTCCATATTTCTAACCCAGGGGTTTGGCCAGCTTTTGCAAATGCCTCGTCATACGCTGCCATGTTGTTTTGAAATCGACACACATGTATATCCAGTCACCTGGTGTCCCTGTCTATCAAACTGTAATGAACATGACATGTACTTGTTCTGTTCTGTCAGTGTAACCTGTTTTCCTTCGGCAATGATAACTCGATGACACAGATGAACAGTCACAAAATTTGAATATTCATCGTAATGAGCACGTGTTGCCTCAACTACTGGCTAGTTTATTTCATGATGAGTAACCTGATCGCATGTACTGTCTCATTTAAATACGTGACTATCACGTTACTGGCAGTATGTGTAGAAGTGACTATGTCAGTCGGATGTCCTCTATGTAGCACACTGTCACAGTCTCCCAAGAGAAAACGTATTGGTAGATGTGAACATAAGTGGTATGACGGCTTTGCGGTACTTCTTGTTTACTTTTTACAACTTAAACTTAAACGTTTTATTTGAATTCGTGGAAATCATTATTGTTTTAAGAAAGCCATGCTCATGACCTGTGGAAATCATTATTGTTTTAAGAAAGCCATGCTCATGACCTGGGGAAATCATTAGTATTTTCTGAAAGCCTTCCTCGTGCCCTGTGTAAATCATTATTATTTTCTGAAAGCCTTCCTTGTGCCCTGAGAGGCGGTGGGGTAGCCTAGTGGTTAAAGCGTTGGCTCGTCACGCCGAAGACCCGGGTTCGAATCCCCACATGTGTGCAATTTGTGAAGCCCATTTCTGGTGTCCCCCACCGTGATATTGCTGGAATACTGCTAAAAGCGGCGTAAAACCAAATTCATTCAGTCAGTCAGTTCTCGTGACCTGTGGAAATCATTAGTATTTTCAGAAAGCTGTCCTCGTGACCTGTGGAAATCATTAGTATTTTCAGAAAGCTGTCCTCGTGACCTGTGGAAATCATTAGTATTTTCAGAAAGCTGTCCTCGTGACCTGTGGAAATCATTAGTATTTTCAGAAAGCTGTCCTCGTGACCTGTGGAAATCATTAGTATTTTCAGAAAGCCTTCTTCATGACCTGTGGAAATCATGAGTATTTTCAGAAAACCTTGTTTATTGGCTACAAGAACACCCATTTCGTGGTAATCTGAAAACGATCCGTCTTTAACATCAGCCTTGATCTGGATGTGCTGGTGTGTCCCTGCGTCGATCTCACCATACTGAGGGGTCGAGCTTTGTCCAATTGCTACTGTTATCGTGTGATGTGGCTGGGATATTGTAGGACAATGGTTAAAGTCAGTTAGTTTAACACCGCTTTCACCAGTTTTCTAGTTTTATCACGGCGTTACAAATACATGTAGGACAACAGCCCGAAGTAATGCATGTCTCAGGAGTTTACCACTCTCGTGAAGCACGAACTTGGTGCTGACACACCCTGAAACGTAACAGGGACGAACCAGGATTCGAACCCACAATCAGAGGATTCAGACGTGCCCTGGTAGCACCGGTAGGGCAATGTGGCGGGGCTGAGATATTGTAGGCAATTGTAGTGAGATGTTGTAGGACAACATGGCGGGGCTGATATATTTAATGGCATTGTAGTGAGAGTGAGATGTTGTAGGACAATATGGCGGGGCTGATATATTTAATGGCATTGTAGTGAGAGTGAGATGTTGATGCACAATGTGGCGGGACTGATATATTTAATGGCATTGTAGTGAGAGTGAGATGTTGTTGGACAATATGGCGGGGCTGATATATTTAACGGCATTGTAGTGAGAGTGAGATGTTGATGGACAATATGGCGGGGCTGATATATTTAAGGACACTGAGGTAAGAGTGAGAAGTTGTTGGACAATATTGCGGGGCTAATATATTTAATGGCATTGTAGTGAGAGTGAGATGTTGTTGGACAATATGGCGGGGCTGATATATTTAAGGACACTGAGGTAAGAGTGAGAAGTTGTTGGACAATATTGCGGGGCTGATATATTTAATGGCATTGTAGTGAGAGTGAGATGTTGTTGGACAATATTGCGGGGCTGATATATTTAAGGACACTGAGGTAAGAGTGAGAAGTTGTTGGACAATATTGCGGGGCTGATATATTTAATGGCATTGTAGTGAGAGTGAGATGTTGATTGACAATATGGCGGGGCTGATATATTTAAGGACACTGAGGTAAGAGTGAGAAGTTGTTGGACAATATTGCGGGGCTGATATATTTAATGGCATTGTAGTGAGAGTGAGATGTTGTTGGACAATATTGCGGGGCTGATATATTTAATGGCATTGTAGTGAGAGTGAGATGTTGATGGACAATATGGCGGGGCTGATATATTTAAGGACACTGAGGTAAGAGTGAGAAGTTGTTGGACAATATTGCGGGGCTGATATATTTAATGGCATTGTAGTGAGAGTGAGATGTTGTTGGACAATATTGCGGGGCTGATATATTTAATGGCATTGTAGTGAGAGTGAGATGTTGATGGACAATATGGCGGGACTGATATATTTAATGGCATTGTAGTGAGAGTGAGATGTTGATGCACAATATGGCGGGGCTGATATATTTAATGGCATTGTAGTAAGAGTGAGATGTTGTTGGACAATATGGCGGGGCTGATATATTTAACGGCATTGTAGTGAGAGTGAGATGTTGTTGGACAATATTGCGGGACTGATATATTTAATGGCATTGTAGTGAGAGTGAGATGTTGTTGGACAATATGGCGGAGCTGATATATTTAATGGCATTGTAGTAAGAGTGAGATGTTGTTG